TGTGGGCTGGAGAAAAATGGGAGGGCTTGCAAGGGCTGTAGACAAGATATACCTCAATGACAATTTCATAGCTAAATTCATTCATGTGTTAATTGTGGGTATATCTAAAAAAAATGTTATTGGGCAATGGAGTTTCCCTTTAAGAATAAAAAATTAGGGAACACAAGAGCTACGAAACACAAGAGCTACCCCATTTTCTACTGTTAAATTTGGTAATCCCACGTAAGAGAACCAAGTTAATGAATTAAGTAATGAACGGATTGTGAAATAATTTTGTTCATAGCATGATCTGTTCATTAGTCTATTCAACCATTGTGCATTTCCACGATTTGGAATGCAAATGAATGGCCGAATGGGCAGATTTTTGTCTGATTATTCTGAAAACAAATGCCTAAATATATAATTTTTTTACTGCTCTTTCTCTTTTCCCTCTATTGGCTAGCATTGGATCTGTGAACCAAATTGTAGGAAAATGCTCAATTTTATACTATGAATATATTCTACACTAACTAAATTTTACACCATTTTGAATTTTCTGATTTGTCTCCCAAATTACTTTTTCTGCACTGAAATTCTGCCGGGCTAAACCAACATACTGCTGAAAATTTGGTTGTACCGTAAAAATATATTTTTGGAAAAAATGGTTCAATAGAAACATGCAGAAGACTACTGTACAATGGGGGATAGAAGTAGAGCAAGAAACACAAGAGTAGAAATCCCTACCGCTAAATATTTCTTGGAAGGGGGAATGTAGTTCAAGGCTGGATTCCAAGGTTTCCCTACATGATTTTCAATATGCGGTGGATTTTAGATTGATATACTGAACCCTATTTAATATTCTAATATATATAATAGAAGCGCATAATAAATCCAATCAACCTCATAAGGTATAGGAAAACAGAGCTAAGTACTCACATCCATCATGCCAGTTATAAAGATTCATAGGATTCCATAGTTAATTATTTTCTTTCTTAATTTATGCTATAGCTATTGTCAGAGCAGGTATTTATTTATTTGTATGTTATAGTATTTGCACTAAACTGGAAATTGTGGAGAAATAGCTGGGATGGAAATATTTTCCAATTTGGCTATAAAGGAGATTATACTAAATTCACAAAACCACACCTCCCGTGTTTCTTTATTTAGAGGGAATAGGTCCTATTTGGGTCAAAGTCAATCCTTTGCTCTTTTCTATCAGAATGCCCCTCTCTTTGGTGTGTCTGGCTGTATAACTGTAATGATGCTCAATGTGTCTTTAAATTGCAAAAAAAGTGTTTAAACTAACTTGGTGTAATATGATACATTTGCCTGTAAAGTACATTTAAGTTACATAAATGGGGTTGGTTTCTTTGTCTAACCTGCAAGTTTCCTTGGTTGCGGATTCACTGGTCCCCCAGGATATACTTTGGCTGTATGTTTCGGCTCTTACAAAGTATACTAACTAGTTTGTTCCACTGGCAATACATTTTAATTAATATGGTTCATTAGCATGACTTAAACTTGCATGGATTCTAACCAAGTCCTCAGAAAGAGCAAGATACAAGCTTCTTGCTGGCAACTGTCTATATCACATTTATTACTGAACTATCAGCTTTTCTTAAAAACCATAGCTGAGAGTACTAAACATTTGAAACAAAGGTTATGTATACAACACCAAATCCTGTGTTTGTAAACACATGTTGAATTGCCCTAATTCTATGGATCTTTATTAGGGCATACAATGCAGCTTAGACCATAACTAATAAATATACCAAAATAATATAGGCCATTTTGTCACATTTCAACCCCCCGAAAAGAGTCTATCTGCCAGGCTGGGATCCTACTACTCGGATCACAGGCTGCAGGAAGACAGTGCAATCCCTCCATTAAAAATATTTTGCTAGAGGGCCAGGCTCCATCTCAGCAGTCCGCCATTGTCGCCCACTACCTGGTGTAGACAGGAAATGTCATTGTGGTCAGTTACCACCATAAACTGTCAACCATAGAGCTAGGTCTGTAACGTTTTTATGACCCAAACGACTGCAAGGCACTCCTTCTCTATGGCCACGTAACTGGCTTCACAATCTAGTAGCATGTGGCTGAGAAAAGCAACTAATCCTCCTTGTCATCCACTTGACTGAGGATGCTGCCAATGCTGTAGGTAGAGGAATCCGTCTGCACAATGAACCTCTTACTGCAGTCTGGGGTGACTAATACTGTGTGGAAACACTGTCTTTAGTCTCCCAAAGTTGGACACACACTCTGGGGTCTAGCTGACCATGCGGGGCTCCTTTTTCTTTGTCAGGTCAGTCAAGGGTTTAGCTATGAAGCTATAGTCAGGGACAAACTTTCTGTAGTACCCCACGATACCTAGGAAATCTAAGACCTGCTTCTTGGTCTGGGGTGTGGCTTCTACCTTAGCAAGATCTGGTCTCACCTGTCCTCTTCCTATCCAGTACTGCACCACCCCCCAAATCAAGGCTACACTTGTCGGTCTTAATGGTCAGCCCTGCCTGCCCAATCCTGTCCAGTATGGCTGCCACTTGACACAAATGATCTTCCCAGGTGGTGCTAAAAATAGCGATCATCCAAGTATGCACACGCAACTTGTGGCACTCTTGGAGGAGCTGGTCAACTAGCCTCTGGAAGATGGCAGGTGCAGTTTTCATCCTAAATGGCAAAACTGGTAGAGCCCAAAGGGAGTATTAGATGCTTTGCCATCACATCCTCTTCCAGGAGTCTTTGCCAGTAGCCCGGCAAGATCCAATGTGGTCAAGTACTTGGCCCTGGCTTACCTAGCTAACAGTTCATCTATATGGGGCATGGCAGTGCATGGGGTAAGCATTGGTCACGGTCTTCTCATTGAGCCTCCTGTATTCCTTACAAAGCTCTTGCTCTTTTTAGGCACCAGCACGACTGGGATTCAACGGACTCTGGGAAGGCTCAGTCATTCCCAGAACCAGCTCCTGGTGGATTAGGCCACGCATTTACTCTGGAAAACTATAAGCTGCCTGACGCAGGGGCACCTATCTGCACTTGGTGCACAGCAAGTGTGGTGCACTCGGGCTAATCCAAGAACAGGTGGCGTCTGTGCGGAGTTGCTGGGACTGGTCGACTATCAATTCCTCACTAACCGCTACAGGGGAAATCTGGGGGTCACTGTCCATTTTGGGCAATAGGTTAGGCACCACATCCTCTTCATCTGGCCTGTCTTTGGGCAGACAAACAGCCAAAATGGCAGTGGCTGCTCCTTGTACCCCTTCAACATATTGACATGGAGCATGCACTGGATGCGTTGCTTGTGATCCATGGCCCCTGCTCCCGCGGAGCTCATAGGGTGATAATCCTGCAAATTCTTGTGGAACCTCACAGTACAGAAAAAAAAGCAGATGTACCAACTTCTCCCAATCTAGTTCCTAGTCTGCGATGCTCCAAAGCATGGCCTTCAGAGTGCCATTAAAGCACTCACAAAGGCCATTGTTCTCAGGATGGTAGAGAGTGGATCAGAGCTGCTTCACACCGCAGAGCTGATAGACCAGCGCAGACATGAATAACCAACTTGGAAAACCAACGTGGCTGAACACAGTCACCAAGGCATCTGCCACTGTATCCCTGGTAATTCAGGCCAGAGCCACAGCCTCAGTGTACTGGGTATCATAACCCACCATCGTGATGATGAACTATTTCCCAGATTTGTTCTGGCGTGCCAACTGTCCCACGTAAACAATCGTGACCCTTTAGAAGGGGGTTCCCACTATGAGCATAGTTTGGAGTGGTGTCTTCTCATGTCCCCTCCCTTTGCCAATCCACTGGTATGAGTTGCAGGAGTTACAGAACTGCATAACGACCTGCGAGATGTGCGACCAATAGAAGGCCTTAGTGAGTCGAACCCTGGTCTTACTAATCTCCATGTGGCCTGCTAGGGGGAGTTCCAAAGAGCCAATATACTAGGCTCAGATGGAACTGCACAGATAGAGAAATATATTTAGAACAAGCAGAGCACTTAACTCAAAAATTCCTGGAAAAAGGGTACAAGGAAGAACATCTTGAAATGAAAGTATAGAAAAAAGGGAAAGTCAATAGAGGAGATCTCCTTATTGACAAACCCAAAAAATCATCCAATCCTAATAACAAATTTGAGTATTCTTTCAATACTCAATATAACTCCAAAGCCTTTTCCACCATATTTTAAAGAAGCACTGGCCCATACTTAAACATGACAAATTTCTAGGGCCATAAATACCTGTTATACCGAATGTCATCTACAGAAAAGAGAAGAACTTTTTAACCTACTTAACACTGAGTCTTTTCAGAAATGTAAGTAAGAACGATAAAACCATTACTAGGAGGGTATGAACAGATTGGCCGAGAGCGATCTGTCAGAATTGGAGGGTCTTTTAAAAGCTAGTTCCAGATCTCATTCAGATCACAGCACTTTATTATATGCACAACACAGCACCTTGATTACTCATGATGAAGTCTGTGATTAATAGACAAAACGCGTAAAGTTATTGTTATTAATGTTTTTATTATTTTGTATGCTGTTTATTTCCTGCTCACAGTACCTGTGAGGACTCCAGCATTTTATACCACCAAGGGGACTACAGGATTATACTGATGGGCCTTTTATCTACTCATTCTTTGTAAGTGTAACCATTAAAGCGTGTTCTAAATTTTACAACAGTGTTGCACTATGTCCTTTAATTTTCTTTTCACATGAAACATCTAACATTGGAACATTGTTGAACCAGCGGGAATCTACACATTGTTGATGAGCCTGAATTATCCGGAACTCTGTGAGTGTAACCTTGAATTCTGGATTATTTAGATATTTTAACGTTATTACCCAATGAGGTTTTTTCTCCGTTTTGTGTTATTAGGTATATCTTGTTTTTTTGGCCCGCTAGGGGTTCCGCAGTAGGAGAGGACAATCTCAGTTGGCTCTTTGCCTTCCACTTCTGTTCCGGTTCTCTCCCCCTTGTCTCCCGGTATAACAATCTCTCCTCACAAGAGATCCTTACCCCTTTTCTCCTGGTTCCCGAACGTCTGCCTAGCCAGGTCAGGCTGCCTAAGCCTAGCCAGGTCAGGGTCCACTAGGGTCTCCTGTCTCAAGGTGTCTGGATCTATCTGGAGGATCTGGTGCAAGTCAGGGGGGTCAGGTCTTAGCTGTTCTGTACAAATATAAACAAAAAATGAATAAAGTGAACAGCGCAAGTATAAAAACTAAAACACTTAGTTTCTTATATATAAAACATATACACCATGTGTTTAAAATTGGTAAAAAATGAATATATACATATACACTTATAGGAGCCTGTTTCTATACAAATACATAGTCACATAGTTACATAGGCTGAAAAGAGACATGTGTTCATCAAGTTCAGCCGTCCTCACATTTGTTTTTTGCTGTTGATCCAAAAGAAAGCAAAAAAAAACAAAAACAGTTTGAAGCACTTCCAATTTTGCAACAAACTAGGAAAAAAAATCCCTCTTGATCCCAGAATTGCAGTCAGATATATCCTTGGATCAAGAAGCTTTTACCCTACACTGAAAACTTATATAATTGAATACACTGTTTTTGCGAGTATGCGTCTAGTTGCTGTTTAAACATTTGTACGGACTCTGATAAAACTACTTCTTTAGGCAGAGAATTTCGTATCCTTATTGTTCTTCCGGTAAAATAACCTTTCATTTGCCTTAGACTAAATCTTTTTTCTTCCAGTCTAAACACATGACCTTGTGTCCTATGTAAAGTCCAGTTTGTGATTAGATTTCCACACACTGGTTTGTATTGGCCACGGATACAACAGGAAGTGTAAAAGGAAGAGGGAATGTATTTAGAAAAAGCGTCCAAGGAGGGCTAAAATTCACTCAGGGTTCAATAAAATTAATTGTATAGTAAAAAATATATATCTTTTTTTTTCCAGCGGCTAATACACTCGTTAGATTGAGTTTTATTGCTGTACATTTTTGTGCTACTCACATACACTTTACTGTGATTTTTTTTTTCTTTAGCTCTCTTTAAAAAGCTCTTTAAAAGAAAACAGGGTGTGTTTTCCTGCAATGATCTATGATCCAAAATATTTACCTCATCTGATCAGCAACAACATTAAAACCACTGACAGGTGAAGTAAATAACATTGATTATATCATTATAATGGCACCTGTCAAAGGGTAGAATATGTATTTGGCAGCAAGTGAACAGTCAATTCTTGAATTTCATGTGTTGGAAGCAAATTGCTGAAAAACACACAATTCATCGTAACTCATGATGACCCGTGTCCACTGCCGAAAGTGGCTTCAATGGGGACGTCATCATCAGAACTATACCGTGGAGCAAAGAAAGAAGGGTGCCTGGTCTGATGAATCACATTTTTTTTTTAAATTGGGTAGATGGCTGGGTTTGTGTGCATCGTTTACTTGGTGAATTGATGGCAGCAGGATAATAATAATAATTTGATACTGAAAAGACGTTACAAATATATGGAACATATATAAAATTTAAGAGTTTCTGATAGTCAGATGACCGGAACGAATGCCTGAGAAACAGGTGTGTTTTTAGCTTTAAAAAAAAAAAAAAAAGTCTGTAAGGAAGGTGTCCTTCTGATTAAGCAAGGCAACGAGTTCGAGAATGTGGTTGCAGCATGGCTGGATGCCTGGGAACCTGAGTTTGTCTTCATTCTGGACACTGACAAGAGGGATATGTTGGCTGACCGATGTGAGCGTAATGGAATATACAGTGTTAGGAGTTATTTCAGGTATTTTGGGCCTTGATTATTTAAGGCTTTGAAGGCCAGCAGGCCAATTTTAAAATATGTTTGCCACTTACTTGTAAGTCCATGCAGGAAGTAAAGAACAGGTGTTACTTGACATGATCGAATTTTGTCTAACTGCTGCATTTTGTACTGTCTGTAGATGATGGAGTTCTCTTTCTTGGAGGCCCAAGTAAAGTTCCAGGCCAGCTGGGTTATCATGAGGTATTTTTGCTGTCCAGGGCCCTCTCACCAAGAGTAGTCTGTTTTGTCTGTGTTCACTTTTAGCCAATAAGCATTCATCCACTCGAGTTCTGCTAAGCAACTGATGATGAGGCATGTCAGGTCTTTAGTACCTGGAGCAGAGGAAATGTAGAGTTGTGTGTCATCAGCGTACCAATGATATCTTGGGCCATGTCACATGATGATGTCCCACAGTTGTAGCAAGTAAATTGTGAATAGCATGAGAGACAAGATGGATCCTTATGGAACTCTGCAGGCTTATTCTTTTGGTGCCTATGTGTTTAATCATGATGTTACTCTTTGTGATCTACCAATGAGGAAAGATTTAAACCAGTTTAGAAATGTGCCTGCTAGACCACCGATGTGCTGCAAACGCTTTAATAAAATCATATGGTCAATGGTGTCAAATGCAGCTGAGAGATCCACGAGGATTAGGATGGAGTAATCACCTTTGCCTCTTGCCATAAGGAGATCATTGAGAACTAGGACTGGGGCTATTTCCATGCTGTGGCAGCATGTGAAACCTAACTGGAAGAAATCAGAGATATTATAGATTGATAGATGGGCCTTCAGTTCAGTTGCCACTAATTTTTCAATGATTTTTCCCATTAATAAAAGGTCGGATACTGGTCTGTAATTTGCACTGCAGTCTGGGTCTACTGAAGGTTTCTTTAAGAAGGGTTTTGTCACTGCTTCTTTTCGAGCATGTGGGAACATTCCAGATTTAAGTGAACACTGCACTATATTTGTGAGTGGAGGGACAGGTGTTTCAATGCATGTGGAAAAAGATTTACTGGAGCAGGGCCCAAGTTACACGTAGTGGGGTGTAACTTTTGCATGGTTCTTCCATGGTAACTTCCTCTATATCCACATTTGTAAACGTAGATCATAAATTGGGGCAATCTGGCATTCCACTGTAGTCGTTCTCGTGTATAACTGGTTGGCTTGCTGTGGAGGAAATCTTGTCTGTAAAGAAGTTCCCAACTTCTTCACACTTATTCTGAGAAAAGTTGGTGGGTACAGGAATGCATGCTGGTTTGCAGAGTCTTTCTACTGTGCGAAACAGTTGCCTGGATCTTTAGTGGGAGAATGTAATTTTGTGTGGCATTAATTCAGTTATCTTCAATTGGTATTCATTGAGATGTTTGGTAAGAACAGCTTTATCCTCTGGATCATGTGTCCAGCACCACCTTCTCTCGAGTTTACGGCCTGTTCTTTTCATTTCTCTGATGGTGCCATCAAACCACGGTGCATTGTTGTGAGTTTTGACAGTGTGTATGCGTGTTTGTGCAATGCTTTCCAGGGTGTCTCTCATGGTTTTGTTGTAGAGCTAGGAGCTAGGGTCCTAACCAAAGGAGTCACCCATTCTAATGAGCGGTGCTTAACCAGGCTCTGAGGGGTCTGGTCAGTGTATAGGATTCATTTTTAGGGGGGGCACATGGTGGGCTAGGGACAAAAGTTGGAATATTTAACCACGCCCTCGCCGCAATTTGACCCCACACCTGCCACATGTTAAGCCCCGCCCCCGACACAATGTATTGTTTTTTTTTTTTTAAATAATCCCTGGTGGAGGATTCATTATTTTCCACCAGGGATTATTAAAAAACAAACACATTTCCCTTGATGCAGTGCCATAGTTGCCAACATTTAAAAAAATTTTCCAAGGACATTTTGCAGCACAGCTATCAATTACTACCTTGAAAGTTTACCAAACCCACTGCCGCAAAACTCTGCCCACTATGTCCAACCCACATAATTAATCTCCGCCTACTTATCACAGTACAGATTACAGTCTACTCAATAAAGAGAGATTTACAGGGAATTGAGATGGTAATTTTAAACTTAAGGCCAAAGTAGCAGAGTTAGAAACATTCTCCCATTCAGCTGCACTAGTTCAACCTAATGTTGGAAATTCCCATCACAATTCTCTGCAATTCTCTCTTTATTGAGTAGACCTTTATAACACCAAGTTCCCACCAACAGTACCATGTATCCATGGTATGCGATAGACACATTCACAGCACAGTATCTATATCAGGCAGGTACATTTTATCACTTTTAGGTGAGTTGGGTATCAGTGGTGACACTGTCTGTACAAATATATAAAAAATACATTTTGTAGATGTGCTTCGGTCAGAGTTGTGTCTATACCATATAACATTCATTAGTTAATAATTATATTGGGGAGTGAATATAGTTTTAAAAAAAGCTGAAAATAGGAAATGAAAGATATTAAAGGATAATTTACAAAATGGAATTAAAGAAAGAAATGGGAGCAAAAGGAAAACATATGTTAAATGTCTCACATTGAGACTTCAGTCACCACTCTAGTTCATGGAATCTGTGGGTATTATACATGTGTTATGTGTGTGTGTGTGTGTGTGTATGGACTCAGCAGTCCATACATACACACACACACACAGATTGCTGAGTCCATACATACACATAGACTGCTGAGTCCATGCACACACACACACACACACACAGACTGCTAAGTCCATACACACACACAGACTGCTGAGTCCATACACACACACACACACACACACACACACAGACTGCTGAGTCCATACACACACAGGCACATACACGGACTGCTGAGTTCATACACACACACAGACTGCTGAGTCCATACACAGACACACAGCCTGCTGAGTCCATACACACACAAACACACAGACTGCTAAGTCCATACAAACACAGGCACACACACGGACTACTGAGTCCACATACACACACACACAGACTGGTGAGTCCATACACACACACAGACTGCTGAGTCCACACAGACTGCCGAGTCCATACAAGCACAGACACACAGGCACACAGACTGCAGAGTCCTTACACACACACACAGACTGCTGAGTCCATACACACACACACACAGACTGGCGAGATCTTACACACACACAGACTGCTGAGTCCATACACACACACACACACACAGACTGCTGAGTCCATACACACACACAGACTGCTGAGTCCACACACACACACACACACAGACTGCTGAGTCCACACACACACACACACACACACACACACACAGACTGCTGGGTCCATAGACACACACACACTGCTGAGTCCATACACAGACTGCTGAGTTCATACACACACAGACTGCTGAGTCCATACACACACAGGCACACAGACTGCCGAGTCCTTACACACAGGCACACAGACTGCAGAGTCCTTACACACACACACACACACACACACACACACACACACACACACACACAGACTGCCGAGTTCTTGCACACACACAGACTGCTGAGTCCATACACACACACACACAGACTGCTGAGTCCATACACACACAGGCACACACACGGACTGCTGAGTTCATACACACACACAGACTGCTGAGTCCATACACACACACACACACACACTGCTGACTCCATACACAGACACACAGACTGCTGACTCCATACACAC